ATATATACAGTTTCACATGTGTTCTGACTGGGAAGAATAAGGGTAAAATGTGTATGTCTTGCTCCTGATGCACTTACTTTCATTCAACAATCACTGCTTTGTGCAAAGAAATTTGCATAATATTTAATTTCACCAAACTTCTACTTAATATTTACTACCTCTTAGGCACTTCGGTTCAACAGAGGATAAAGAGAGAGCATAAGCAGATAGAAAAATAAAGACCAGGCAAGATGGATGTATGAGGATTGCAATCTGAGGCTGACCCTGAACAAAAGCATGAGGCTCTTTCTGAAAAATAAGCTAAAGCAAAAAGGGCCTGGGCTATGACTCAAGTGGCAGAGCACTTGTCTAACAAGTATAAAGCCGAGAGCTCAAATGACAGTACCGCCAAAATGAAAGAAAAAAACAAGTGAAGTGTTGTAGCACAAGATCAGAGACCTTCATAGCAATAAACGTGAGCATCTAACTCAGCCACAGGACACGATGACTGAGCCAAATTGTGAACCTAAGCAGGAACCAGCCAGGATGAGACCACCTGTATCTTCCTATACTGCTAGACCACTGTGCTCAGATGGGAAACCAAACTGGGTCATGGCTGGCAGCTGATCACCTTCCTGACTGCTGGTGGGCTATAAGTTTATCTACCCAATGAGCTTCAGTCTTGGCATGCTCAGTCTGCTAAAGATGAAGAGTGTTTCCAGAGATGACACCATGTTGCCCTATGGTTCTAATTCCTTCTGCTCTTTACTCCCCAAAAACTAGACTAGAGGACAGCAAACTATGGCCCAGGGACCAAATCTAGGCCAACACCTGTTATTGTAAATAAAGTTTTATTGGCACACAGTCATGTCCAATAGTTTCCTTACTGTCTGTGGATGCTTTGACACTACAAAAGTGGAGTTGAGTAGCTATCACAGAGACTATATGGGCCTTGAAACATAAAATATTTACTCTTGAACTTTATAGAAATTTGCTAACCCTTGATCTAAAGTCATACTCTCAGCTGTCGTTTGAACTCAAGAAAGTTTAGTGCTTTAAAGGAAACTCATACTGTTTCAGGAAAGAGTAAGGAGGAGGGGGAGGGACCAAGAAAGATGGAAACTGGAATTGGAGAAAAGGACTGTGGAAGCAGGGTCTTTCCTAGCCAAAGAAGGATTTCTTTCTGCCCAGTGATTTAAGGCTAGAATAGGAGGCAGTTATGAGGACACTGCTGCTTGTCAGAAAATGGATTCTTTTTCACAATACAATTGTTTCACTCTGTCTATTTAAAAAATGTGCAGCATTATACTTTGCCAGATTAAGGGGACATACAGTGAGAACTCTTTTTATAAAGCATAATGATGCAAGAGAAGACTATGCCTTAGGTTTTCAGCTGGGAGGCCACATATAATTCAAATCAGAGCTGATGACCCTCTGTGGGATGGAAACAATGTGAAGTGGAGAATACAATCCACATCCCACACAGCCAATGGACCCCTGACTCTGGCAGCCTGATGATTCATGTGTAAGCCACAAAGACATTTCATTGACTGCCTTAGAGTCCTGTGAGCACAGTGCAGTCAATAAATATTTATTAAATGTATTTTCCTAAGGCCTGCAGCACTTTCTCAGTGATACCTCATAATCAAATACAAAAGAATTGCTCAGGATGGATCATAATAAATATATAAATGTATGTTAATGGATGCAAGCTAGGAATGGGGAGTAGGAAGGAAAATATTCATTCATCTATGTACAAATCATCCAAATGGCACTAGTCTTTGAGTAAATAAGAAAAAAGCATATTACACAAGCCCCAGAATTAAGAATTGCGAGAGAATGAAGAAAGGAAGAAAGGGGAGGTGGGAGGGAGATTTATAAATGGTTGTTTTGGACAAACTAAAATAGCCACATTTTTTAAAGCCAATCTCTTTTGCTCTCTCTGGCTTCACATGAGTAATACTTCATATGTCACTGAAATGGCTGCTACACTTAAGGAACATCAGAGAGTTAACTGAAATGAGCTCCCAAATTGCAATTTTTGCAGTAAAGATAAAATATGGCTTTCTGCCACCCATTTGGAACTATGGCGCCAATATGCTGGTGCAACCCCCCCTTAAGTACAGTCACATGAGGTTCTAAGTGCTGTATCACCAGTTTGGGCATGGGTATTAGGATTTGTTTATTTAAGATCAAGCATTTATCCCAAGCTAGAAAACAAATTAAAATCTTGCATTTGAGATAATATTAAAAGAGGGCAATGAAATTACCACTTTCTCCTGTGCATTTTCCTCTTTCACAGCGTGAGAATGAACAGCTGTCAGTGAGCACAGAAGCCTGCGTGGTACAGGAGGTGAGATAAGGCACTTGTATGGCTGCCTGTCCTCTTTGAAGGGAAAACAAATCTTGCCTTTGGGAAATGATCCAGTCCTACAATTTTAATTAAAACACTCTAAGAGATTCTAGCCATGACCACCCAGGTCCAGCCCTGTACCAAATTGGGAAGAAGGCAAAGAAAGTGGTTGCTCAGGTCTGCCTCCACCAACTTTGATCCTGGGTTCCCCTAATTCACCACCATCCCATGACTAAAGAGCAAAGTGAGGCTCCATCACTATCACGCAGCAAGAATGGCACAGGCCCAGGAGGGAAATCAAGACTTCTTAGGGTCCTTTTCTGGACAGCGCTCCAGATATGGAAGGTCATTTAGTTTATGGTGTGCTGAGCATCCCTTGATAATAACTCTGGCCCTTTACGGTGGCCTAAAGAAGTCAGGTGATACTTGATTTGAAGCAATTTGAAAATTGTCTTTGCCCTCTTGATGTCATTCAGACAGCATTTGTGTGACAGGCTTCTTGGCCACCAACTCAACCAGCAAACATACTTAATGATTTATAGCTTGTTACTCACCCCCACCATAATATCTCTTTCAAATCTCTTCCTAATTCCACTGTCTCCTGACTTTAAGACCACCTATCCACTTTGCAAAATACACAGAGGAAAAGTTTCTAGGCCGTTCCTTCCCAGGAGTTGCATTGACTTTTTGTTGTTTGTAGAGGCAGCCCTGAAGCATCCTCTTAATATCTGGCCTTCCTACCCCAAGCACCTTCAATGTCATTGCCCTTACAGATGAGAGGAGGAAAGCCCAGGTCTCTAGCACAAAAATGCAGAGAAAGTTACCCTAAAATTTAAAGCTTTTGCCAAAAGAAAGCTATCAAGCTTTTCAGGAAGTCAGATCTAATCCTAACACAGAGAAGTGTGAGGGCTTCAAATGCTTCTTACCCTTGGAGCAGGATGCTCAGCAGGTCACCCCAAATCCAACTGAGTATACCTTTTAAAGAGGTGTGCTCCAATAGACCACCTGCCAGTCCAAGGCTTGATTACCTCTTCAGCTTCCCTAAGGCTCTGAGGTATTGATCAGATTACCACTTCAGGTCACTTATCCTGCCATCACATTTTGTGGCTGTTGATGCACCTTGTTTCCCTGAAGAAATTAGACACTCATAGCCCAAAAGAAACACTGTGCTCTGCAGGCACCAGGTTCCCAGCAAGAATTTGTTGAGTGCATACTGAATGAGATTGCTTTTCTTCTAACCCTGTTCCTAGTTAAGACCAGAGATCTTAGGAGTCCAAAGTATATAGGGAAAGAGTTATGATGTGTTAAATGGAGCCAGATGACAGCTGGCTGCTATTTATCTGTGCATTTCTGAAGTCTCCATTGAGCATTCTGTCCCATGGAGGCCAGAAATACCTGCATGTCAGGGAATCTAATGTGTGATTCTGAGGTTTTTCAGATACTATTTAAATTGCACTGGCTGTATATAAGAACATCATTCCTACTCTGGAAAAAATTGCGTATTTGGAGAGATAAATCCATAAACTTTGCAAGAAAAAATACACACAGGGAGTTGACTTTTAAAAAAGAAGAGGCCAATTGATTTGCTTATAACTCATATGAAATGCTGATTATAATATCTATTGTTCTTCAAATCTCTGTGGCATCTCAGAAGCTATGCACAGATTCAAACATGAGGGCTGCTCATTTTGATGACGCTATTTAGTCCAGATTCCAGGCATGAGGTGAGGCAGAAATGGCTCCAGTCTTGAAGTTGTCGTTCACTGTGTTCACCCATGTCCTGTAATAAGGCTTCATCTACCCTGGCCTTTCATGTTCTTTAGTTTGTTCGCCTCAGCAGGTGGAGACTGTTTCTCTTTATGAAACCCTATATTGACTCTTTCATACTTGAAAATTTGAAGGAGATTTCTCCAGGAACCATGGGGTTTTGTTGCCTTCAAGCCACTGCTTTCTGACACATACACAATTCATGTCTGCTCAGATTGTGTGGACTGATACTGGATTACTAACCTTTTATAATGCCACATAAGAACTTTAAAACTCCTGCAGTCATGCACTGCTTAACAACAGAGACACGGTTTGTAAAATGCATTGGGCAATTTCATCATTGTGCAAGCATCATATAGTGTACTCACACAAACTGAGACAGCTACAACATCATCAGGCAATGCAACTTCTGGCACCACACTCATATGCGCAGTCTGTCATTAATCAAAACCTTTTTGTGGCATATGACTGTATTTCCATCAGTATTAACCTTAATCCAAAAGGGACAAAAAAGAGTCTTTATATTGAATAAATTTATAATGTTGTCCTTATTTTTCTATTTTTACTAGAAGCCCATGACCATACTTGGCTATCCTGTCCCAATGTAGGCATTTCAATGATGAAAATTTTTCTTCCAGAATGTTGCTAGACTGGTTCTCAAACATTAAAAAACACATATGGCAGGCTTTTCTCTTGGATATTTTGAGAGATAAACCCATAAACTTGGAATATTTTGTCATAATCAGAAAGCTTAAGGATAGACAATGGAAAAGGGTTCAGAAAATAGTTGTAAAACTCATCAGGAATCAAAGAGTTTCTGGGAATTTTTTGTTTGCGGGAAAAGCATACTCAGATTTGGTTGACGCAGTCAGAACTTTGTCCTTCTTCTCTGTTCCAGGTACATGGCCATCATCCATCCCCTCCAGCCCCGGCTGTCAGCCACAGCCACCAAAGTGGTCATCTGCGTCATCTGGGTCCTAGCCCTCCTGCTGGCCTTCCCCCAGGGCTACTACTCCACCACGGAGACCATGCCCAGCCGAGTCGTGTGCATGATCGAGTGGCCAGAGCATCCGGACAAGGTGTATGAGAAAGTGTGAGTTGAGGCTTGCCCTTCTCTGAAGTTGCTGTGGTGCATGCAGGGGGCCTTGTTCTTTCTTGTTCTTTCTTTCTTTCCATATTCTATTGTGAGTTAAGAATTAATGTGTAATTGGACTTTGAGCACATGATAAAAGCAAGAGCACACAAGGGAGGGGTGAGGATAGGTAAGACACCTAAATAATTAGCTAGCATTTGTTGCCCTTAACGCAGAGAAACTAAAGCAGATACCTTAAAGCAACTGAGGCCAATAGGAAAAGGGGACCAGGAACTAGAGAAAAGGTGAGATCAAAAAGAATTAACCTAGAAGGTAACAGCCATGCACAGGAAATCAATGTGAGTCAATGCCCTGTATAGCTATCCTTATCTCAACCAGCAAAAACCCTTGTTCCTTCCTATTATTGCTTACACTCTCTCTACAACAAAATTAGAAATAAGGGCAAAATAGTTTCTGCTGGGTATTGAGGGGGTAGGGGGGAGAGGGAGGAGGGAGTGGGTGGTAAGGGAGGGGATGGGGGCAGGGAGGAGAAATGAACCAAGCCTTGTATGCACATATGAATAATAAAAAAAAAAAAGAAAGAATTAATGTGTATCTGTAATCCATAGGCATTTCTCATGTCCACCCTGATATCGGGTTGATGTATACATAGCTGTCAGGGAATTATAGCATCCCAAATACTATTCTGGGCTTTGAAAGAGAATGCAAAAAATGGAAAACTAGCTCCTATTACAGCAGGCCATTTGGGTGTCTACCATGCCCCTTGGGCCTTTTACCTGAGAAGCTTTCCTTCAACTATCTGCATTTCATTGTCTGGGAACTTCTTTTTCCTAAGCTACAGGTTGCCACACTGCCCTCCTGCACAGCATTTTGGGAGATAGGAAAGTTCTCCCCACTCTCAGCAGCTCTGAAGAGTGGCTGATGGCAGTGGCATATGAACTCTCAGCTTCTTCCCTCAAGGGGGGCAATGTCTCTGAGTTTGTTGAACACTGTGTCCAGGGTGAGATCAAGCTCCAGGGACCCAGGTGGTAACTGGTTCCATAATACTGTACTGGCCACCATTACTCCCCCACCCCACTCCCTATAGTGTTTCCTTCTCCTCCCAAATAAGGTACTTACACACGAATCTTTTATCTCAGATTCTGCCTCTGAGAAAAAAACAAACCAAAACACCTTCCTTCCAGGATTTTACTATGTGAGAAGTAAGATGACACATGTGAGGTGCATGGGAATGCAAGGACAGCATTTTGGGATCTTAGGAGTTACAGGGCACTTATAGAGCAGGCCTGATTATCTTCCATGTGGAGGGCTGCTCACGTTTACAGTTTTTCAAAGTATCTTGGCAATTTCTTCTAAGACTTCTTATCCTAGAGGCAACATTGAACTAGTTTATTCTTTGTTTTGTTCTGCTCAAATGAGCAATGATGTGACACTTATATAGCCACTAGCTTTCTGGACTGACAGCACATGGATAAAAGTGGGACTTTTGAAAGCCCTCCATAATTCCCCAATCTTGGGTTTATAATGTGAATCATAAAACAACACTGGTGATAGAATCAGAAGATCAGGGTTTTGGTGATGAGATTGCCACTAGCCATATGATCACAAAGAAGGATCATAGCTTCTCTTCATTACTAAAATGGAAATAATAAGGCTCTGCTTCCCATAAACAATTGTTATGAAGATCAAATGAGATAATGTATTCACACCTCATAAGCTATTAAATGTCATACAAGAGTTATGAACCAAATTCATTGGATAGCAGTATAATTGTGTGGCCTTTAAATTTACTAAATGTTAAAATGAAACACTATACCTGTCATACCCCCAAGATTTGAGAGTTAGAAAGCCTGTTGCACACATTGTGAAACTGCCACATCTGCTCCATGGAGCATGGAAATGTGACTTGCCAGGAAGCAATACATAAAGCTCAGACATCGCCTTCCAGACACAGACAGTGGGACTTAATCGATCAAGCAGTGGGGGAATGAATGCTTAGCTTAGAAAGAAACATTGAAAATTATTCTTTCAAATGAAACCACAAGCCTGAGCAAGGTCTCTGAGGGAGAAAGAACAGAGCTTGGCAAGTCGTGTAGGACCCACGAAATGAGCAAGCTTCAAGCCAAAAGGTTTCCTCAAAAGGGGGAAGGAAACTCCTCGGAGTGAAAACTCCTCACATAAACTGCATCAGAAACCTCCACTGACAACACGGGCTGTGGCTGTGTTCTTAATTTTCATGATCTTTTCCAAGTCTGATCTGCTTTCGACAGCTCTCATTTCAAAATACTCACAATTCTTTTTTCTTGCAACAACTTCAAAGTTTAACTTGGAAATAGATTTATTTTCCCACAGATCTCTGGAGTTGTACCCAAGAAACAGTAATTTTCTGAGTCTTATGTTTGAACATTTTGGTGTTTTATGCTTATTAATGACTAGATAATTCCTTTGGGGCTGAAAACAATGCATTGAATTGTTTCATTTTCTTGCTTTGAGAGTTTAGAGTGGCTGTTCCTGGTTTCATGTTTAGGTTTACAGTCACTGTTTATTTCATCATCTTACCCAAAAAACTGAGTCTAACTCATGAGCATCTGCTTTTATCTATTCAAGATGAGCCCACACTTGCTATTCACATATTAACTGTGATTCAAACATAACTCAACTGCACAACGAAGCTTTCTTTATTCAACCCTGTGTTCTTATTGTCACTATTCTTTATGACACATTATGATACTGTTTTCAGGAATTTAAACTTTACCACGTCTAAACTAAGTACTTAATTATATTCTCTTTTTTTAGAACTAATGATTATAATTTCCACAGTATACAATAATCTTAAATTTGAAACCAAATGGAAATTTTGTTTTGAGGCAGCATCATAATTAGGATAGCGTGGGCTCTGAAGTTAGGTAAACTCCAGTCCCAACACTAGTTGACTCATAATGGTCAAATAATTTAAGGCTTTAAGCCTGATTCCAAATAGAGGTGTTGAGAGAAGTAAGTAAAATAATTCACGTGCAGTGCTAAGCCCAGTGCCCTGGTCAGCACATGTGGTAAGGGTCTAGTGAACATTACCAATGTCAGCATCATTCATTGACCAGTCCCACTGGCACATGACTGGCAGCAGACAGTGTGGTGAGCAGATGCTTAGGCTCAATTTGTCTAAAAGACAATTTGTGCCAACTAATTACACAAAAGCATTTTGCAAAAAATCATAGATTGCTGCAAATCCCTTCTGGCTACTTGGTGAACCTCCAACCCTAGTCATTTATCATTCAGGTTCTTTATTAATGCATGGATTATTAATGCATGAAGTACTGTGAGAGACAGGCAATCCAATAAAAAAATAGGAAAAAACTTTTGAACAAGTGCATCACACAAAAAAAGTCCAAAATGGCTAATAAGAGGCATTCAATCTAACTCATCGCCAGTGAGACGCAGATGAAAACCATAATGAGATGATTCTACACACCATCACACTAGCAAAGTGTTAAGAAGTCTGACGCACACCTGTAATCCCAGTAATTCGGTAGGTGGAGGCAAGAGGATCACAGATCCTTGGCAAAGTTAGTGAAACCCTATCTCAGAAGCAAACTAAAAGAACTGGTGACAAGGCTAAAGTGGTAGAGCACTTGCCCACACACTAGGCCCTAGGTTCAATCCTTAGTACCTAACTGTTCAGAACTTTTGGTAAGAATATGAAGCAATGAGAACTTTTGTTGAGTGATAAATTGTTAAAACCATGTTGGAAAGTACTTTTACAGAATCTAGAAAAGAAGAAGCCATGCATAATCTAAAACTCAGAAGTTTCACTCAGAGCTCATTACCCTAGAAAAATTCATGCACAGGGCCAAGTGTGTTGATGCTACTTGTAATACCAGCTACTTAAGAGGCAAAGATTGGGAGGATTGTGATACAAGGCTGGTCTGGGCAAAAGGTTAGTGAGACCCCTGTCTCAACAAACAAGCTAGGCATGGTATTGCACAGCTATAATTCCAGTTACTCAGAAAGCAAAGGTGGGAGGATCACAGTCTGAGGTTGGAGCACTCAGAAAGCATGCCTCTGAAAGAGTAACTAAAGCAAACAGGGCTGAGATCTGGCTCAAGTGGTAGAGCAATGCCCTGATTCCTAACCCAGTATGGTCAAGAACACATCATAACATATGCACTCAAAGGCATCTAACGTGTTGCTTATGTCACTATTGTTCTTAATGTCCTAAACTGGAGATAATTCCGATGTCCACATCAGTGGGACAGATGCAACATTGTGGTATACTAGATAAGATGAAGCATAGCTCCACACACCATGGATGGACGTTATAAACAAAGTTCTAGAGCAAGCATAATGAAATGACTTTTTTGAATATATCAATAGATGGCAAAGCTATAAATGCCACAAGGAAGTGGCCACCATGTTAGCACAGACTGTGGTTCCCACCCACAGAGGGCAAATGGAGTGACTGAAAAGAGACACTTGGTATACACTGGGGAGCTGGCAATTATATTTCTTGAGCTCAGGGCTTGTAGCATGAATACTTGCTTAAAAACTACTTATAAGAGCAGATGATTTGATTTACATACTTTCTGGGATGTATATTTCATATTTTTCAATGTAAAAATTAAACACTATGAAAAGATTTTGTGTATTTCACAAGCTCCCAAGAAACTGCCTCCATTGAGCTCAACCAAAAAATTCCCCAGGAAGAAATTGTCTTCTGAGATGTGGGGATTTGCCTGGGATGGCACGGCACAAGGTCTTACCTCTAGATACACAACTTGTGCTCAGCTCCCACCCCATTCCCACATGTACTCTACGTCTTGCATTTTGCCTTGCTGACTCCTGAGTCAGTTCAATTGGAATTTTCCAAATGGTTGAAGGACAAGCCAAGTACTTGTCCCTAGCAGGATTTGCCAAATGTTAAACCCAAGAAAGGCCCAGCCAGCATCCACACCCTTGGCTGCTGCTGCTATGTTCATAGGTAAGCACCTCTGGACAACACAAAT